GTTAAGGAAATGAACCCAGGAATTTTCAGAAAAAGGTATAAAAATTGGGGGAGAGTTAAATTGTAAAGTAACAATAGGGACTAATAAGCAACATATTACGTAGTATTAATAAGCAAAAAGAACGTTCTGAGATATTGATTTTCCATGGTAATCGGCCCCGAAACTTCCTGAACTCAGAAAAACGACATTAAGATATCCGGTACCTAATAGTAATGATAGGAGGATGGCATCGGTGTAGCAGGGAATCGTAGCCTCCACGGCCGATCGAAGTGGTGGTAGAGGGAGCAGTATAAAGCCCTTCTGCCCTCTTGGAATCATTTAATTCAATCATAGACTTGATTAGAGCCACACCATAAGATCAGGTTGGTGTGACGGTTCTAATTATGTGAAAATAGGAGTGCGAAATGGATCGCATTGAAGGCATGTTTCGATTAGGCTTCAAGAAAAATTCTCTACTAGAGTAAGGTACAGGTCCCCTTAAGATAGGAGTGGTGGCACTGCTACGACGTGGAAGTGAGCGACAAGGGAGCTGATGCCTTTGTTTGGCCGCTGCGACCGCTTCCTTTGGTATGAATCGCAGTATGGGTGGCGTCTGCGCCCTCTCACGTACGACTAGCTATCTCGCGTTTTCCCTCTTCTAGCAGCGCTGTGTCTCTTCGTCGTACTACGACTGACCTCATCAGGAGATTCAGTGCTTTCTATAGTGCGCTTTCACTTCTTCCCCACTGAGATTCATCTTTGCCCTTCTCGTCACGTTTCGATGGGGCCACAAAGTCAAATCTGAAGAACCTACACAGGGAGACGGAGCGTTCTACAAATTGGTGGCGCTTACTATTAAAATTCAAAGCTCGGTTACGACACGGCCTAGGAAGCAGAAAATTAGTGTAGAAGATCAATGCTTGGGGTAACAAATCGTACTCAAACTGAGAGGAGGCTCGTCCACCATGGGCAAAGCGTGTCCCTAAGTCAGTGGGGTCTGCCACTGAAACTATACACAATGCAACGAAGTCTCATAATTCGGTTCTTAAATCTCACTCAGGAGATCTTGGAGTCCAGAATTGGAAAGGTTGCCCGGTTTTCTATCGTCAAGGAACCCTATTTGTTCAAAGGCAGCCTGGCGCCAAACTGGTAAACATATACGAGATTCCATTCCATATTATTTGGAAAATACTCAAAATTATTACCAGCGGCATTTATATTGGAATACGTTTTGTTTTGTGGTATCACAAGATTAGGTGCTATACAATCAGGGTGGGCACGCCGCATTTTTTGAACAGAAATGTATGTAAGTGGGACTGCTGCCCGCTACTATACTGTCTGTCACGAGAATCGGGAATTCGTGAGCCAGGGGGAGTGTAGCCAATCTAGGGGGGGGGGGGGTGAGGGGGCAGTCACTTGACATGCGTGAAAAGCTGGGCGTGCCCACCCCACTTGTATAGAGCCCAAGATTATTCCAGAGCATAGCATACCGTGTCCGATGCCTGATTCACTTAAAAG